CAGCCAGCCCAGCTATGAACTCCACCAGCAATTTCTCTTTACAGTACCAGCTGGCCCCTCTTCCCAGTATCAGGTCAGTGTTTACACTAGCTGTTGTAACCAGTGGGTAGGTGGGGCAGTTTTCTCCTGAAGGCTTTGGGTAAATTTGAGTTGTGGCAGATGGAGACACTGAAGTCCACTGAAATGAAAGGATGTGCCCAGTGTCACACATGCCATGACATGGCTCTGTTGCCAAGCACAGTTGGTCAGAGGGGTCAAAAGAGGGCGGGGAGGCCCTGGCACATGTTGCCCAGAGAAGCTGTGGCTGCCCCTGGATCCCTGGAAGTGTCCAAGGCCAGGTTGGAGCAACCTGGGCTAGTGGGAGGTGTCCCTGCCCATGACAGGGGGTGGAATGAGATGAGCTTTCAGGTCCCTTCCAAGCCAAACCTTTCTGTGGTTCCATGATTCTATGAAAAGGCCGTGCAAATTCCCTGGGCTGTTCCCATGGCATTAACACAGTGGAGATGGAGCATAAAGCTGATTTCAGTGTTGGCACATTTTATTCAGAGTGGCCAAGGAGAACAGGGTGGAGAAAGGTCTCCTTGTGCTGTGTTTGGATCTGCAGCTTTTCTATTGGTTTCCCCTTGGCAGGACATCCAGCATCATGCCCAGGCAAGAGCTTGGTGCTGAGTGCTCCTAACATGACGCATTAATCCAAAAATGTCTCCACTCTTTGCAGGTCTCATTCAGAAAAGAAAATATCTTTGTCAGGGCTGGGGATGTCTTCAGCATCCAGCACAATGCAGGCTCAGGCTCCTTCCTGCGGTGCCAGCCCAGTGCCACATCCCCATCCAGAGCCAACGTGCTCCGTGTGAACTCCTCCGAGTGGGCGCTGGGCCCGTCCGAGGGCTCCGTGGGCCCCCCCCGGGTGAACAGCACCGTGTGCTCGCTGCGTGTCCGCTATGCCGAGGAGCAGCTGGTCCCGGTGCTCAGCCCCCACAACGCGGGGCTGGACCAGCCTGGTCTCTACACGGTCAGAGCCAGCGTGGACAGCGGGGTCTTCAGCGCCAACCTGTCCTGCAGCTTCCGGGTGGCCTCACGGGTGTCAGGCCTGCGTGTCATCCACCCCGCTCCCCAGGGCAGCAGGGTCTACCTGCCCACCAACCACACCACCCTGGTGCTCAAACTGTCCTCGGGGGTGAACGCCACGGCCACCTGGCTGGGGGACAACCACAGCGTGCCCTTCACGGGGGCCTGCCCGGCGGCCGTGGCACCGCTCACGGCGCAGTGTGCCAGGGACAACAACGACACCTGGTTCGCTGTGGTGCAGCTGAGCGGCCTCAGGGAGGGGCTCAGCACCCACGTGCTGGTGGCGGAGAACGAAGTGAGCTCCCAGAACATCACGGTCACGGTGAAGGTGGAGGAGCCGATCCGCGGGCTGAGGGCCACCCCCGACCCCGAGAGCAGGGTCCTGCTGAACACACGGGTGGTGAGTGGTGGCTGCCGCCCTTAATTCACCAGCTGGGTTTTTAGCCTTCCCCTTTAGCCCGTAGGTGTGTGTTTGGCTCTGGGGAGGCTGGGCTGGGGGGAGCACTGCTTGCTGCTAAGCTCCCAGGCCGTGCTGCCCGCGCTGCTGCAGACACAGGCATGTGGCACAAGCACTGGTGCTCTCCAGCAGGAAGGCAGCTTGGCTGTATGTTCCCTTGAATCCCCTCAGAGGTAAGGCAGTACCTCCTGCGAGGGGGATACTGGCTTTCCACTTCCACAGAAACCAGAGGCGTTATGAGAGGCCAGTGTTTACCTTCTTTTGACTTGTCAAGACGTTCAGATTTGCTCTGCTAAATCCTTACATCAGCTGGCTGAAGCTGTAAAAAAGCTTCGTCCATCCAAGTCTTAGGGTTCCTCTGGCGTTTCCAGTCTTTTTGTTTTCCAAGCCCCTGTCCCCAGAGCTGCAGCCCTGGGAACCTGTTCAGCAACTGCCCCAAATGCTCTGTTCAAGCTCTGGCTGCTTCCAGCAGATCCTGCACCTCCACCTCTTGGTCTCACCCTTCCTGGCTGCCACAGTCTGCTCAGGAGGCCCTACTGGAGTGAGGACGGGGCAGATCAAGCCCTTCAGCCTTTGGGTCAGGCACCGTCCATGGGCGAGGGTCAGAGGCTCAGCTTACAGGTGTAGCTAAAGCCGAGTTGTTTATTTGCAGATATCAGAAGGTTTTTTAGACCTGATCCCAAGAGCAGAGTGCTGGGCTGTGGGAGCAGGGAGTGTGGGGTGTGCTCCCTGCTCTGCTGGTCAGGGTCTGCATTTCTCCATCAGCAGCAGAGCCCCAGATGATGTGTCACCTCTGTGTCATGCTCTGAGGGCACTGTCTGCAGGTGTGAGGTGCCTCCCAGTCTGACCCTGCTCCCTCTCCAGTTCAGCTGGAGATCTCCTGGGAAGTGCTGGGCATGCTTTTCTCTTGCACTAGTATGAAATGTTCTCATGCCTTTCAGAGCTACATCCCTGTGATGGAGGCTGGGTCAGATGTGACTTTCCGATGGACAGTAGATGATAAGCCATCTTTCACTTTTTACAATGTTGTCTTCAACGTTATCTACCAAAGCCCAGCCGTGTACAAGCTTTCGGTAAGCCAAGGCCTTTCCCATGATACCATTTCAACCCTGGGTTTCCATCTCATCCCACAAACTCAGCGGGAAGAGCAGCAGGGAGAGGAGAAGACAGAATTGAGCTGAGGTTTTCACTGTGCTCCCAACGAGCTCATCTGCTATTTCTCATTGAGCTGCTCTTGCAAATGCAAATAGTTTCTTCTGTTCTTCCATTAATTCACTTTATTCCTCATCTTTGCTTTCTCCTCTTTTCTCCTTGTTCTCCTTTCTGCTCACGGAGTGTCTGTGCTTCCTCCTCTCCAGCAGGAATGAGGCAGGAGATACGGATTCAGAACCAGGCAGAGGCAAGATGCAAACATAAGACTTCTGTAGGCAGGACAGACCTCCCACAAGCTCTTCTGTTCTCTGTCCTGTTCTCTTCCTCCTGATGCAGACTGGAACTGGGTTTTGTCATGGCCTCAGAAGGATGGAGCAGAGAGTCTGGGCCAAGGGAGGTGTGTGTTGTGGAACAAGAGTTTATCTCTGGCCAGGACATCTCTCTGTGTCATGCCCTGTACTGCCAGGTGGAGTCTGCTCTCATCCAGGTGCTTGATCCTCTTGCAGGGTGACTTGGCTTCCTGAGGAGACGCCAGGCCCAGCTCCAAGGCCACGCTAGCACTAATTTGCTTGGTGCAGCACTAATTTGCTGGGTGAAGCACTGTGCTGACAAGCCTGGGGCGCTTTTACTTACAGAGCTGACAAGGTGCCATTAGCCTGGGGGGTGCTGGGTTCAGTGTAGCAGTCACAGAAGCCTAGACATGAACTTCTCTTACACGTTGGGGTGAGATATCTCTACTCAACTGGGTTTGCAGGGTTCCTCTGTCAGCAGCTCCTGCAGGTGAGGAGGTGGCAAGATGCTCTGTCACCAGGTGCCCTGTCAGCGTTTCATGCCTAAATAATCTTGAGGACCCTGCTCTATTTCTGTTGTGTCTCTTGCCTCTCTTTCCTCCTCGGCCCAGCCTTGGTCTCTCTCTCTGTGCCCACCACACCAGGATCCTGGAGGTGCACTTCATGTGCTTGATTTTATGAGCCTCTCCCATCCCTGCTCTCTGTGCTTGAAGCCACTCATCTGCCCCTGTCCCAAGGTGTCTGTTGTCCCCTTGGTGGCCTGTGTTCAGCAGCTGGAGACTGTGCAGGGCATGTTGGAGCCAGCACAGGGGTAACTGGCAAGTTCAGAGCCAGAGGAGCCTCTGGATGAGAAGCTCCTCTCTTTCCCTCTTGCTGTAGCACCAGTCCTTCCTTGGGCTGACTGTACTGGTGGTTCCAGCAAGAGATGGCTTTGCCAGGTGGGTGACCTGCCAGCCTAGGCTGCTTTCCAGTTCCATCCAGGCTCTTGCCCTGCCTCCCTGCCCCAGGGGCCATTCTTCTCTGCGCTGGCCTGCTCGCCTGCCTGGTGGGACATCTTGAGTGCAGTGAAGCCTCACGCTCAGAGGGCAGCACGATGAGGTGATCCCCAGCACAGTCTCTGTCCCACTGTCCTTCCCAGCTCACCGCCTCCAACCACGTCAGCAACTTCACGGTCAATTACAACGTCACGGTGGAGATGATGAATAAGATGAAGAACCTGACAGTGGTGGGTGTCCTGCCAGTCCTGCCCCAGAACAGCACCGTGGAGCTCACGGCGAGGGTGCACGTTGATTCGGCTGTGGAGGCTCTGTTCCTGTGAGTCCTTTGCTACTTCCCCAAACTTAGGACCTTTCTGTGCATATCTTACCTTGCCTGCACTGTTTCTCTCCCCAGGGCCAGCTGGTCCATCTCTCAGATGCTGCCTAGTTAATTTGAAATCCCTGTGGGTCAGTCAGACTGGCTGGGACCTGTAGTTCAGTTCACTCTTTTAAAGTATTGCACACTGCTCTAATATTGGGTTCCTCCTCCTCTTACCAGTGCTGTGCTCCTCTCAGCATTGGGCACAGCTACTGCTTTGATACTTGTCATGCTGTTTCCTATGTTTCTTTTGGAAAACCCAGCTCCGACCTGAAAGACAGGCCAGGATTCCTCTGGGATTTCCATGATTTTCCTGTTGTGCAGTGTAACACTGTTTACCTGTTTCTCCAGGTGGGATTTTGGAGATGGTGTCCAGGAGACATACCTGTTCAAACCTCCCTACAACAAGTCTTTCCTTGTTCCTGATCCCAGTGTCCATGAGGTTGTCATTGAGCACAATGTTTCACACATCTACCAAGACCCAGGTATGGTCAGGAAGGTTCTTTGGGCAAGAAGGGGCTCAGGTGTTTTTGTTATGAGGGGACTACAAGACACCATCCAATAAAACCAAGGCATGGAAGTCATTACCTTGTTCCTGAACGAATGGCCAGTGACTGGAAGTCTCCAGTTGCCATCCTCTATAACTGTGTTTCTTGGAGAGGTTTGGCCATGCTGTAAGAAGCAGGTCTACCACACACAGTCCATTTTTGGGCAGCCTCAGTGGATAGATAGAGGAGGGGCAGGGCAGGGTCTGTGCTGGTGGGAGGGATGGGCAACAAGGAAGGTCTGTTCTGTGGGCAAATAGAAAGAAAATCTTTTCTCTGTACCTGCTGGACTGGCTCCTTACTTGGTGTTTGGTCCTCATGCACATGTCCTGGTGTAGTTCCTGCTGGTCCTGGGCTGGAGCAGGGAAAGCCTTGGGTGTGCACAGCACAGGGGCAGACAGACATGTCCTCACCCTGGTCTTGCTCTGCTCTCTTCCAATGCAGGAGAATATGCCCTGATGGTTGTCGTGTCCAACCAGTTCGAGAACCTCACACACTTGACCCCAGTTCACGTCCACAGTTACCTGGTTGACGTGAAGGTGGAAGCAGAGGAGGAAGTTTTAGTCGTGAGCCGCCCGGTGACCTTCCGAGCCCATCCCCTGCCATCCCCCTATGGTGTCGTGTACACCTGGGACTTCGGGGACAGGTCCCCCCTGCTCACAGAGTTCCAGCCTACAGTGACCCACAGCTACGCCCAGAGAGGGGTGTACAACGTCACCGTGACAGCCAACAACACCGTGAGCAGTGTGGAGACAGTGGAGTGCTACCAGGTGTTTGAGGAGATCACTGGGCTCCGTGTTTCCGCGGGCGAGGCAGCAGAGCTGGGAGCGTCTGTCACCATCAACGCCTCCGTGCAGACCGGGGACAGCATCACCTGGGTGTTCGACCTGGGGGACGGGACGGTGCTGAGGAGTCAGGAGCCAGTGGTAGAACACGTGTACATAAAGGACATCAACTGCACTGTGAATGTGACTGCTGTGAATCCCGTGAACTCCATCTCCCAGGCTGTTCCTGTTCGGATATTTGTCCTGGAAGTGCTCAAAATAGAGCCAGCTTCTTGCATCCTGGAGCACCCGGACGTGCAGCTCACCGCGTACGTGACGGGGAATCCTGAGGAGTACATCTTTGACTGGACTTTTGGAGATGGCTCCTCTAATGTCACAGTCAGGGGGGACCCTGGGGTGAGGCACAACTTCACCCGAAGCGGGACGTTCCTGCTCTCCCTGACTCTCTCCAGCAGGTTTAACAAGGCTCACTATTTCACCAGTGTCTGTGTGGAGCCAGAGATAGTCAATGTCACCCTTCTCCCTTCCAAGCACTTTGTGAGGCTTGGGGAAGAGAGTACCTTCCAGGTCAGTGCCGTGCCTCCCTACCAGTACCGCTACCGCTGGGATTTCGGGAACAACGAGTCCGCCAGATCGAGTGGGACCGAGGTGACCTACACCTACAAGAACACAGGGGTCTTCCTGGTCACAGTGACTGTCTCCAACAACGTCTCTTTCAACAACGACACAGCATTTGTGGAAGTCCAGGAACCAGTTGGGGTAGCGAAGATTGAATATAATGGGACAGATGTTTTGGAGCTGAACCAGATCTACCTGTTCTCTGCCAGCATGAATGGAACCAAAGTGAGTTACTGCTGGGACTTTGGAGATGGCACTACCCAGCCTGGGCAAGTCGCCACCCACTCCTACAACAGCACGGGCCGTTACAGCATTACCGTGATGGGCCAGAACGACGTGAGCTCTAACGAGACCACCATCGACGTCACCGTGAAACGTCGCCTCTTTGGCCTCACCATCAATGCCAGCAGGACAGTGGTGCCACTGAATGGGTCGGTGAGTTTTGTAGCCACCCTCGTGGCTGGCACTGCCATCCGCTACTCGTGGATCCTCTGCGATCGGTGCACTCCTATCCAAGGCTCCTCCACAATTTCCTACACCTTCCGGTCCGTGGGCACGTTCAACGTCATTGTGACAGCAGAGAACAAGATCAGCTCGTTGCAGGACAGCATCTACGTCTACGTCCTGGAGCAGATTGAGGGCCTGCAGGTGGCCAGCGGTGACCTGGTGGAGGACATGTATTTCCCAACAAACAAAACACTCCATTTGCAGGCCGTGGTGAGAGAGGGAACAAACATCTCCTACAGCTGGGTAGTCCAGCGGGATGGCAATGCTGTGCAGACCTCCTCTGGGAAAACTTTCTCCTTTAGCGTCCCTGAAGCTGGGAACTACACTGTCTATCTGAAGGCCACCAATATGCTGGGATGTGCCACTGTTAACAGGACACTGGAGTTTGTTGAAAGCCTTGGTCTCCTAAAGCCCTACGCCTTCCCCAACCCAGCTGCTATTAATGCCTCTGTTAACATAAGTGCCACCATAACCAGTGGCACTGGCATCACGTACGTGTGGTACCTCGAGGATGGCTCCTCTCCTGTTACTTCTGAACCCTTCATTATACACTCCTTCCAAAGCCCTGGGGTCATCGAGGTCATCGTCGGAGCAGAAAACAAGCTGAATTCAACCAATTCAACAATTTCTATCTGTGTAGAGGAGGTTATAGAGGGGCTGAGTATAGGGACAGCAGAGCTGGACTGTAGGTATGTCTCATCAGGCTCCACGGTGGTCTTTGAGGGGGAGCTGCAGAAAGGGACTGAAGTGACCTGGCTTTGGGAGGTGCCCAATGGCACCTTGACTGGCCAGTCTGTGGCAGTCACATTCCCTACAGCGGGGCTTTATACAGTCCATCTGAACGCATCCAACGACATCAGCTGGGCTCTGGCCAGCAGGAATATCTCAGTGCTGGACAGGATCCAAGGTCTGGAAGTTCTCGCCAGCAAGAAGGTGGTGGAGCCAGGGGAGCAGGTCACCTTTGTGATCAGGATGTTGTCAGGTACCTCTGTGAGTTACCTGGTGAGCATAAGCGGGGACTACTCTGTGGTGCTCAACGGGTCCAGGTACACCCATGAGTTCACCAAGAGCGGTGATTACCTGGTGACTGTGACTGTGCAGAACCAGATCAGCATCGCACACGCCCAGGTGCTCATCTCTGTCCTGGAGGCCATCCGGGATGTCAGGCTCCTGAACTGCTGTGAGGAGGGCATCCCCACAGGCACAGAGAAGAGCCTCAGTGCCCGCGTGGGGAGCGGCTCCCGTGTGTCCTTCTCCTGGCGGTTCTCCCTGTGGAAAGAGCAAGGTCGGTCTGTGGTCACTGTGTCAGGAGAGAGTGTTTCCTACACTCCAGAAGCTGCAGGGCTGCTTGAGATTCACCTCAGTGCCTTCAATGACTTGGGAAGTGTCAATATCACCAGAACCATCCAGGTCCAAGACCCGATAGTCCAGGTCTCCCTCTCTGCCTCCAATGCCTTTGTCAACAGGACGGCGCTGTTCGAAGCCACGGTGGTGCCCAGCAGCAGGAGCGTTGAGTTCTTGTGGAGCTTTGGGGATGGTTCTTCCACTCAAACAACCAGGGTTGCAGTGGCCAACTATTCCTACCTGAGTCCCGGGGATTACCTGGTGGAGGTGAATGCCACCAATCTCATCAGCTTCTTCATAGCCCAGCTCACTGTCACCGTCAAAGTCCTGGAGTGCGAGGAGCCGGAGGTGGAGTTGGCCTTGCCCCCCCAGGTAGTCATGAAGCGATCCCAGAGGAACTATCTGGAGGCACAGATTGACCTCCGAGGGTGCATCAAGTACCAGACAGAGCACCTGTGGGAGATCTACCGAGCACCCAGCTGCATGGACCTGGATGACTCCAGCAGGATCCGGCTGCCGAACGTTGACGTGAACAGGCCCCAGCTGGTTATCCCAAAGCTCGCCCTGCACGTTGGGAACTATTGCTTCATGTTTATTGTCTCCTTTGGAGATACCCCCCTGTCCAAAAGCATCTTTGCCAATGTGACTGTGATCCCAAGTAAGCTGGTCCCAATCATTGATGGGGGGTCATACCGTGTATGGTCCAACACTCAGGACTTAATCTTGGACGGGGAGAAGTCCTACGACCCGAACTTGGATGACGGCGAACAGACCCCACTGTTGTACGAGTGGTCCTGTACGTACTCCTCCAAGGTAAGAGCAGTCTTGCACAGCCAGGGTGACCGCTGGGGAGCTCCAGCTGCACGTCAGCTCCACTACAAACACGTCTGGCCTGAAATAGCTGCTGACTGCAGTTCTGGGGGCTGAGGGCTCTGGTCCCTGTCCCATTAACAGTTAAATGTCTCTAATGCCATCAGGGGACAGAGTTAGACTTCAGAGAGGTCAAGTGACCATAAGTTGTGGTCACAAGCAGGTCACTGTCCTCACATGCTGAAGTGGTCTGACCCTGCACTGATGGAGGGGCAAGAGAGAACTGCCCTGCAGATCCTGATGGGAGATCCACCTCAGGAGCACTTTTTGATTGAATGTGGGATTCTTTTGCTTGTAAAATGTTGTGTTTTCTATATATTTGCCTCAAAATAGCAAGATGTGAAGTGTCTGTGGATTAGACCTTTTGAGTTATTGTGAGCTTTTTGTGATTCTTGGCAACGTTTATAAGCTATTTAATGAAGAATTAATTGCTATAAAATAAGAATCTGAAGCTCAGATGAAACACAGGAGTATTCCAAGTACTGTTTACTAACCTGAAGAGTAGGATGATGTGTTTTGTTGTCCACACACGCCCTGTTTCTCCCACCCCAGTGGTGGCACTGCACAGCGAGGTCTGTGGCAGTGACTCTGTGTGGACCTGAATGTTTTGGCTGTGGACTAACCCGACTTGCACCCGTACCAAGGAGGGTTTGAAAGTTCTTTTCTCCTTGCAAGCAGAGCTCGGCTGCAGGGTGCTCTCTGAATTTCAGTGCCAGTGAAGGAATTGTCACAATTCCCAAAGCTGAATTAGAAGCAGATGTGGCGTACACGTTCGACCTCACCGTCAGGAAGGGGGACATGAGTCCTGAGGCCACCAACCAAACCGTACGTACCACAGACAACTGTCACTGCTCTCCTTGGGTGCCTGTTGCTGGACACAGCCAAACTGGGAGTCACAGAATTATAGAATGGTAGGGTTGGAAGGACCTTCCACCCCCTGCCATGGGCAGGGACACCTCCCACTACCCCAGTTTGCTACAAGCCTTGTCCAACCTGGCCTTGGACACTTCCAGGGATGGGGCAGCCACAGCTTCTCTGAGCAACCTGTGCCAGGGCCTCCCCACCCTCTCAGGGAAGAATTAGTCCCCAGATTTTAGGGCATCACTGGGGCTCTGTAACTGATCTCATCCAGGTTGTTGGCAGGAGCAGACGTTGGTATTTCTGTGAGAGAGCCATCTTACAGTCATCTTCCTTGGGCAGCACTTTTTGCTTCTCCTACCAAGTTCTTTTAGTTTCTGTATAGAATCATGTGGGTTGGAAAAGACCTTTAAGATCATTGAGTCCCACCATGGGCCAGCGAAGGAGCCCGGCCATGGTCGGTGGCTCTCCCAGCACTTTATGCAGTCTTGGCTCTTCACATCCCACAGCAGCAGGGTCTTCCCTGGTTTTTGCCCAGAGAGAGCTTCCTAAGACCTGGTGCTTAATTCTACTGTCAACAGTTCCTCTCTTCTCTCCTTCCAAATTTTTTGAAGGGAGGATTTTCTTAAGTGCATGTTGTTTATGACACATTAAGCCCAAGGCCAAGCGCACCCGCAGCCCGACGGTTCATGTCAGGAACGTTCATCTGGTGCACTTGGCAATTAGAGGTGTAGTTACTCTGAAAGTGGAAACTCTTACTGCCGGGGTTTGAAACCAGAGCTGGAGGATGAAAAGAAAAAAATGAAATTGATAGTCTTTCAAGGACATTCCGTACTATCTGGTTTCCATGCGCGAGCGCAAAACAATGATCCCAGTGTCGCAGGAAATTTGCAAATACTGGAGGAATGAATGGAGCTTCAATGCTCTCAGGCTTAATGCTGGGGAATATTTATCCTCTTTTAAGAGTCTGCCATGTTAAACAATGTCTTCATTACTGTCTTTGAATTCCTAATGCTCGTTATGCCAGGACAGAGGGCTCTGTCCAAGACTGGACAGGCCTGTTTCCTTGGGGATTAAAGGAATTTAGACGAAGTACAGGGGTCAGAGCTCAAAAGCTGTTGTGTCTGAGCCACCGGTGCCTCTGCTCTCTCTGGGTGCTCTGCCAGGAAGGTGTGGTAGATATCTTGAGAAGTGCAGTTAGATTCCAGCTAAAACCTTGGAACAACATGCTGCTCTCTGGAAAAGGTGGTTCTTCCATCCCTAACCTACAGCCAAAGCAGGGTTTGCTGGGAATTCAGCACAGGGGGCCAGAGGAACATTTTGAAAGCAATTTATGTTGTTAAAGTATAGATAAAGTAAATCCAGAATGACCTAGATTGGCCCAGTTTGGCATTGAGTGGCTCTTGAAAACCAGTGACAGAACTGGGCAGTGTGAGAGCAGTGATATAGCTTAAATCTGACTGGTAATCCTTTGGGAATCCCTTCCTCCTGTTTCCTTAGCATAGGCTGGGCTGGTGCACAGCGATTCCCCCTTTCAGAACCGGGTGCTGGGATGTGTCCTTACATTTTAGTTGTCTGTATTTTGGTGTCAGATCTTCTAATGGAGCCTCTTGCTTTCCCAGGTGTTCATCAAAAGGGGAGGAGTCCCTATCGTGTCCCTGGAGTGTGTTTCCTGCAAGGCTCAGTCTGTCTACGAAGTCAGCAAGAGCTCCTACGTCTACCTGGAGGGGACCTGCCAGAACTGTCACAACGACTCCAAGCTTGGGGTAAAGTCATTGGTCTTTGCTTCACCTTTGGTAAAGTGTTTTTTCTCCATGCTGGTTGGCATTTTGCCTGTTATTCTGGTGGCTCAAGCAGAGGTGGTTTAGTCTCTCCTGATCCCCCGAGTACCTCCTGCCCTCCTCTGATTCCTGATTCCACTCCACAGCATCCCTGCAGCCTGTGGAGTGAAGCAGGTCTCAGAACGGGCAGTCCTGTTGCTCCCAGCAAGCCCAGCATGTCCTTGCCTGGCATTTTCTGCCTGGTTATCTCACTGTTTCTCTTGTTATCACAATTGTACTTTTGTGCTATTAACAGTAACCACCCAGGCCATGTTCAGCTTGAAGCATATAAAACATGGTATCCCGTGGAGACTCCACCAGTCCTTCATTTATTTCCTGTGTTTTGTACTCTGTATTATGAAATATTCTGTCGGAGGGTGATGTAATCCCAGAAACTAAAGTAGATCTCACAGTGGAAATATTCCCACCAGACATTTTGGAAAGGTTCCAGTTCTTGTTGCTGTAGCACACAAGACTAAAGCTGAATTATCAACTGCAAATTTGGCAGACGCTCCCACTAGAAATCTGTTACTTTTTATAAGAGACTCAATCTGAAAACATTTTAAGGACATAACTGCAGATTTAAACAAAACTTCTCCTGTCTTTCCATCCCTGCAGAGATGGGCAGCACACAGCTTTAAGAACAGGTCTCTCATCCTGGACAAAACGACGACCTCCACTGGGGACACGGGGATGAACCTGGTGCTGAGGCCGGGGGCACTGAAGGATGGCGAGGGCTACACCTTCACCCTGCACATCACAGACCTCACCACGGGGGAGGAGGGCTTCGCCTCCATCGACCTGCTCCCCAACCAGCCCCCCAAGGGGGGAGAGTGCTTCCTGTCTCCCCAAGGACCCCTCAGGGCGCTCATGACCAAGGTGCACTTTGAGTGTGCAGGTGAGAGCGTTGGGTGGGCACCTGCCAGTTCTCCCTGCCCCTCACAGGCAAAGCCTTCCCATGGCCAGTGTTACCAGATGCTCTTCCCACAGAGGTTTCTTTTGCCCCAAACTCCTACCCCAGGACATTGTTGGCCAGGGCTGAGCTCGGAAGCGGCTTGGCCCAGGAGCAGCTTTGCGTGCCCAAATTATGGAGCTCTAAAACTCATGATAGCAGGCAGGCAGTTTTATAAATCTTAATTCCTGTAGTTGAATGGTGACATCCAGGCCAGGCCAGCTCTTGGGGAAGAAACTGGTACTTCGATGCAGGAAAAAGAAGATGGTGCCCAAAACTGAGTCACATTTATGTGGGAAGAATCAAAAGACAAAGCACTGGGGCCAACTCTGCCATGTGGGCTGGATGTTCCCGCCGGCAGTTACCTTCCCAACCAGCTGCAGAGACAGCAACAACAAGCCCAGCTTTGGAAAAGTGGCCTGGCTGATGTCCCGTAGCCTTGGGCCAAGGACTAAGTGCCTCTGGAAACCAGATTTCCCCAAATGATTAGTGTTAGAGATTAGAGCTGTTTGTGCACAGTGCCGGGAAGCCACGCGGAGAGGGGATGGATGCTGCTGCTTCCAGGGCGCTGGTCACCGAGGCTGGGGGAGCAGCAGAGTGTGTTCAGCGTGATGGGGTTGTAACTTCGGGATGTTTTGAGCTGCCCAGAATAATGCTGAAATCCATTCCTCTTTGGAACGGTGGGAATTTTAGCTCTTAGATTGTTTTTAAGCTGAAGTGACAGACCAGGACACAGACCTACTGGTGGATGTCCAGCTCAGTGAGCCCTGGCAGAGCCAACACCTTCACTGGGGCTCACTGGCAAACATACAGAGCATTTCCCAGCCCCTGTGAAACTCCCCATAATTCCTGGGATCTCCAGGGAAACCTTCCTGCGGGTTTTATCCTTGACTCAGTTGTTCCTGAGATACTGAACTGCCAGAGGGCTGAGCCTCTGTCTAATGTCAGGCTTTGCAAGGCTTGTACAGAAGCCATGGCCTTGGTCAGTGCTGTTCCCAGTCCCAGCAGAGTTATTCCCATTTTTATTTTGATAATGGATTTTTCATAATCCTTTTAAATGTTACAAGACCCAAACACTGTCCCTCTCACCAGAGCAAGGTGACCCTTGCTGGGGACAGCAGCAAGGGCAGATCTGCAGAATCATCAGAGAAGCCTGGAATGGTTTGGGTTAGAAGGGACCTTAAAGCCCATCCAGTCCCACCCCCTGCCATGGGCAGGAACACCTTCCACTAGCCCGGGTTGCTCCAAACCCCGTCCATGCTGAAGGGCTGAGCAGGGTGGGACACCCCGGGGGAGGGAAGGGGCGCAGCCCAGACGGGTGGCCCAGGCTTTGGGAAGGTGTGTGCAGCCCCCCCGTGCCCTGGCCCCCCTCAGCCCCCCCGTGTGGGTTTCCCTTGCAGGCTGGCGGGACACGGAGGACGCGGAGGCCCCGCTGGTGTACATCCTGCTGGCCTCGCGCCGCCGCCGCGGCCACTTCCACGAGTTCTGCCTCTACAAGGGCAGCCGGGCCGAGCACGGCGCCTTCCTGCCCCCCGGCTTCCACGAGAGCGGCTTCCAGGTGTCCGTGTCCGTCCTCGTGCAGGACCAGCTGGGAGCCACCGTGGTGGCCATTAACAGGTAAGGGTCACCAACAGCATCAGTGTCCAGCCTGGGCTCCCTGTCCTGAAGGGCTCGGTGGATCCCGGTGAAAGGTTTGCCTCCTGGGAGAGGCTGTTGGCAGGAAGGGGTGGGGAGGCTTAGCAGAAGTGCAGTACAGAGAATTCCAGTCTTTGTGGATCATCGCTCAAGGGGAAGATTTTCCCAGAAGTTACTGCTTTCGTAGAATCTTGGAATCATGGAAACGTTAAGGCTTGAAAAGACTTCTAAGATCATCAGGTCCTAGAGCTGGGCTGATGAGGAGCCAGGTCTCAGGTCCATGGTGATTTTCCATGCAGCTCCTGCAAAGTGGGTGCCAGGGCATCAGCAGTGCTGTCTTTGTGGTTCACCCACCTGCTTCCCTGTTCTCTCCCTTCCCAGCCCCGGTGACAGTCTGCACTTAACCCAAATCCCTCTTTCCCTTGCAGCTCCATGGAAATTGGCTTACCTGAGGGCTTTCCCAGCCTTTCTCACTGGCTCTACAACCAAACTGACACTGTGCTCCAGGGATTGGTGAAACAAGGGGACCCTCAGCAGGTCATTGAGTACTCCCTGGCCCTCATCACCATCTTAAATGAGGTAACGCAGCTCTTTCTACTCAAGAGAGGCTTCCAGAAGTCCTTGTAGTCACCAGTAAAGTTCTTGGGCCAGATTTTGTACAAGAATGTAGGGAAATTACTAATTCTACAGCATCACCCTCCCGGCAGAATTCCCTTTCACTCCCACCTGAAGTGGGGCCCAGTCCTTCCATGTGCATCGCTATAGGCGAGGCAGGAATTTTGGGCTATACTTGTGTTTTCCTGCCTGGTAAGGGCCTGCTGCACTCCTGGAAGCCAGGCAGGGATGATCCCCCTGAGCACAGGACTCTGCTTAGCTGGGTAAGGACTACACTGGGCACTACTTCGCTATCAAGTGCAAGGCTGTTCAGATAATGGCTTGGAAAGCACAAGCAAAATTGAGAAAGTTCTGCTGGGAAACCAGCTCATTAGATCCCTCTGGGGAGAAGCAGAGTCGGGGAGGTACAGAGAGCATGGAAGAGGAGACTTAAGCTCAGCTCATCATCCTCTGTAACAACCTCCTAGATTTCCTCACTCTGTGTGCTTTTCTCCCCGCAGTATGAGAGATCCATGCTTCTGGAACCTGAGGCTGGGAATGAATTTGAGCTCCGGACCTGGACTCGCAACAACATCACGGAGACCCTGAACTCTCTGAAGGTGAACACTGTTGATGACATCCAGCAGATCTCGGCGGCCCTGGCGCAGTGCACGGTACGTTCCCGTCACCACCTCCCGCCTCTGGCCATCCAGCTGCTTCTTAGGTGCTCTCCAATCCTTGTTGTGCTTCCCTGGCTCCCTCCCCGACACAGGGAGGCTCCAGAAACACTGGAATAAAATGCTGGGGGAGTTGGAGAATCTCCGAGGACAGACTGGGCTCCCATCAGGAGTAGCACGAGTAGAGCTGGACCTGCCTTGGGCCAGGGGCAAGGACCAAGGCCTGATGTTCCTCCCAGCCCTGTTTCTACCCTACAAGATGAGAAACCCTCCTTTGCTCTGCTGCTGACTGGAAGTGCCTTGTTCCCCAGCCAGTTCCCAGTGCTGGGGCTGCTGCCTGGTGGATTGAGGAGGGAAGAGAGCCCAGTTATATAATGCACTTGGGGTTTGGTGGTCAGCCAGGCTGCTCTGGCATGATCCTCCTCCCCGCCCTCCCAAATCCTTGCTCTGGGGACTGGAGTCAGGTACCTTGGCCTCGGCTGTGCTTCGCCTCCAGCCAGGTCAGGGCCTTGCGCAGCGGGAACAGGCGTCGGAATGATGGACAGACTACTGCATGCCACCCACAGAGTGCCTGTCCTGGGCTCTCTTCTCTGCTTCAGAGCCTGCAGACCTCAGAAATCCCATCTTTCTGTTCATCTTTGTCCGGGGTTGGGGCTCAGCACATCCCTTTCCGTGCTGGATCGGTTTGTTTCTGTCTCTCCCACCTCCTCTTGCCTCGTGACTCGGTCTCGCTGTGGAAGCTTAGGTCTAGAAATAGAATTTTTATTCCACGAGAAAAGCTGACATTCCAGGATTAGTTTGTGCTCTGGATCGGAATGAAAAGCTTAGGAAAACAGTAATCTAGAATTTCCCAAGGGGTTGAGACAAGTGGAGTTCACACATTCCTTTCCTGTAGAAAGGTCCATCAGGGCTGTTACAGTTCTGATTTTACCTACAGGGGAGGGGAAGAATCAGAATTAGTTTATCCTGGAGGGAAAAAAAAAGAATCTCAGTCTTTTCTCCTCCCTAAGTAGGAGCTGCCCTTGGGTGATTCCTCCCCATAACCCAGTTTCTTCCCCACCTCCCTGATTCCTGACTCGTGGACTCCGATTCACACACTATGTCCTGGCTTCTCAAGAGCTTACAAATAAAAGCAGAAAAGGGGGAATTCGAGACCTGCAGATGCTGTTTTGATTCTTCACCAAAACATGTGGTGAATCACGTCTGAATCCTGTGATGATTAAAAGAAAAAAAGATGAATAAGAGCGAGGAACGGGGTTGTGGTAACAGCTTCCATGTGTTGCCTCAGTCCCTCCCATCCAGCCTCGAGAGTGCGGGAAGCTCCAGGCCATGGCTAGAACATTCTGTTTCTTGGACACATCTGGGAGCAGAGGGAGGGACATCCATCATGCCTGAGTGGCAGGGTCCCTCCCACAGCTTTCAGGAGTATTTAGACACTGAAACGGATTCAGTTAGGGCTAAATCCTGCTTCCATTGATGGGAGTGGAGTGGATGGAGGAATTCTATCCAGCTTTTTCTGGTTGGGTTCTGTGGGAATAGCGTGTAGCCCCAGAGGGAAGATGTGCATGGTCCTTACAAGTGAACTCCAGGGAACAGGAATATAGAATCAGAATTCTGGAATGGCTTGGGTTGGAAGGAACCTTAAAGCTCATCCAGTCCCACCCCCTGCCACAGGCAGGGACACCTTCCACTATGCCAGGTTATTCCAAGCCCTGTCCATCCCGGCCTTGAACTCTTCCAGGGATGGGGCAGCCACAGCTGCTCTGGGCAATAATACACTCCCTTTATTCCTCTTTCCAACCCAAAAGCATCCCCTGTCAGTCTCTACCATGCCTGCCTGTGTGCTGGCACATTGGAATGTCATGGGAGGTGGATGGAAGAGTCTTGGAGACACCAGTAACTTGCTGGCCCCTCTCAGTGTGGGCAGGGCAGCCATAGTGTCTGCTGTCCCCTCCCCAGGAAGAGCAGGGGTGACTTTCAGAATAGAAAGGTCTTTGCAGGACTGAGCCAGCTGGACTTGCCCACACCTGCCTCCTCTTTTTCTGGGGATGTTCCTGCTCCATCAAACCCTGTTTCCCTTTGCAGGTGGCGAGCAAGGAGCTGGTGTGCAAGTCATGCCTGACAAGGACCTTGAACAAGCTGGAGACCATGATGACCATTCTGCAGGGGGAAACAACCCAGGGCACTGTGACTCCAACTGGCATTGCTGACAACATCCTCAACATCACAGGTGAGCTCTGTCCTGCAGCATGGGGACAGGTGACCAGGGCACAGGGCTCCTGCTGAGGGGAGCTTTGGAGGCCTCCTCCTCTGCCATTTGGGGTTTGGCCTTCTCAAGCTGTTAGGAAATTGCATCTGACACGTGATTTGGAGTGTGGCATCCCAGTAGTCTCTTCCCCCTCATGTTTCCCAGGGTTGTCCTGGCTTTGGCAGCTTCTCTGCGGACATTTAAATATGACAGTTGTTAATAAACTCCCTTAATACTCCTAATAAACTCACTAATTCTCCAGGGATTTCTCTTTTCAGTAAACAATGAGTAACAGCTATGGCTTCCAGATGCTTGTCTTCTGGTTGAAGTCTGAGGAGGCTTTCAGACCTCACTGGGGCATCTGTGAACACTGTGTGGAAATTCCCACCTGGTTGATCTGGGAGGAAGCAGAGACACATTCTCTGCAGCCCTTTCTGAGTGTTCTCCACTTTATAGTGCAAAGAGTTAGTAACATATGTTTGTTTTATCCTTTCCTTCCCTGTTTCCTGGTCCGTGGTTCTAGTCACTACACAGGAGGAAAATAAAACCAGTTGTGATTAAGTATTTCTCACCAAACTTTGTAGATTAGAGAGGCTGCAGGAATTTCTGGCAGCTCTGTTTTTAGCTCTGGGCTACAAACACTCCAGTGGGGAAGGTCATGTGCAAAGTGTGGAGTAACAGTGAGAAGACAGTAAGGGAAGCCTTGTCTGATTGTTTTGGGAAGGTGTCAGGTGTTATCTGGACTCTAGAGTTATCCAGGCAATTTACCACTTCCTCTGTTTGCACCTTTATTTCTCTCCTGGCAGGTGACCTAATCCACCTTGTCAATACGGTTTCACAAGAATCCAAGCCCCAGGAGCTGCTTGCTGATTCCCACAACTTGCTGCTGGCTCCCAAAGCCTACAACCTGTCCTCCAGCCTGATGCGCATCCTCATGAAGTCCCGAGTGCTGAACGAAGAGCCCCTTGAGCTGGTGGGAGGAGAAATTAAGGCCACAGGCAAGAGGTCTGACCCCTTTAACTTGCTTTGCTACGAAAACACACCAAACTGCCAGTTCTCCATCCCCCAGGCCTTCAACTCCACCCTTTCCAACCTGACGGATGTCATTCAAGTCATGTTCCAAGTGGACTCCAATCCTTTCCCTTTTGGTTACATCAGCAACTACACTGTGTCCACCAAGGTGGCCTCCATGGAGTTCCAGACACACAATGGGGTGCAGATCCCCATCGGGAGCCTGGACTCAGAGAAAGCCATCACTGTGATGGTGTCAAACAACACAGATCCCGACAACCTCGCTGCTGGCACGGAAGTCATCGAGCCAAGGACGTCTGTGAACCTGATTGTGAACATGGAGAGCAACAACAGAGAAGCAGGACTGCATTTCCAGCTCACCTACAGAGTCCTCAATGGTAGCACAGACAAATCCATTTCTTCGTGCTCTTTGTTCTTCCCGTGGGAGAGGAGGGCTGGGTGCTGCAGCAAAGGAGAGCTGTGTCAAGGGATAACCGGGGTGAGAGAGGATACCGGGGTAGCCAGCAGGTTCCACACTGCATGGTTGAGGTTCTGGCTGTCTCAGGCATTATCCAGTGCCCAGAGTCATCCTTGTTTGTGGATTCTGGCACTGAGAAGCCTTTTGCTTTTCTCAGCCCTTCTGTTGAGCCACATTAGCACTGGAGGGAGTTGGTCCAGTCCCAATCCTGGGCAGGTACGATGGTATCCAGTGCTTAGGGTTCCTCTGAGCTGCAGACTGAGAGGGTGCAGTCTGGAAAAGCATCTCTCCTGACTTTCTGCATTCCTGATTCTCCTCCCTGAGCACCCACTGCTGGCAGCAGGCTTGTGGTCGAGTCTCCCAGGTGTTTCTGAAGCCCTCTGTGTCTGTCCCCCCTCCCCACACAGATCACTACCTTGCCAGCGAGCCCGAGCCGTTCATCATGGCCTATCTCCATCACGAGCCCCAGCCCAACGAGCACAACTGCACTGCCTCCAAGAAAATTGGCCTGGATGCCCTGGCTGGAAGTGACCACAAACTCTACACCTTCTTCACCTCACCCAGGTAAGAGAAATCTCCCTGGTGGTCCCTGTCACCCAGGGATACCTGATACCTGCTGGAGTCTGACTGCAGCTTGTCCAGGCTTCCATCCTCTGGGCACCGTCATCCCAGAGCTGCCCAGCTTTAGCAGGACTCTTCCCAAGGGACTCACACTGACCTTGGTGGGTTCAGGGTTTGCTTTACGCAGCTCATGAAACCCTTTCCCAGAGCAAAGCACCCCATGTTAATCTTGTTCTTGTTCTGCGGTGAAACCTTCAGAGATCACCTCTGTCCTCACAGCTCCCCTTTCCAGTGGGTGACAGGAGAACACCACATCCCTTGTGGGCTCCCAAAAGCTCTTTTCTTCTTATCAGAGCAGTCATTCCTGCAACTCCAGTTGCTGCCTTGCCCTGGAACACGTGTTCATGCCTTGGATTATTTAGGAGCCAGTCCTAGGCATTATCTGAGGAGAAAAGATGGGCAGCTTGAGAATAGGTGGGGCAAGAGTGGAGCCACTGTTGTGCAAGGTGACACAGCTTCCATGGCTTTTGGGAACAGGATGCTCAAAGAGGAATAAATCATCCTAATCAAATCTCCTCTCAGCCAAGATTCGTGGAAGTGTCGTGGGACACAGGGAAGGGCGAGCAGGAGACCTGGGCAGGGAGAATGTGCAGTAGTGCTCCAGGTGCTGAAATAATACAAAATGAAGGATTCAGGTGGTCTGAATATCTGCACTGCCAAAGAGTGTAAATCATACCATGTTCACTGAGCTTCTCCTCTTCACTGTGTGCTCCCCTGCCCCTGCAGCTGGATGCTTTCCATGGGCACACATCCATCGGAACAGGCTTTGTGGCCCTTCAGAAGGTGGGTTAGTCATCTCCTTGCTCTTTCTCTTCTCCAGAACGGATGATCCCATCCAGAGATACTACCTGAACATCACCAACCACTTCAGCTGGTCTCCGGTGGAGGTGACGCTGGGGCTCTACACGTCCCTGTGCCAGTACTTCAGCGAGCGGGAGAAACGCTGGAAAACAGAAGGAATTGTCCCCCTGGAGGAGACCAGGCCAGACCAGGCCGTGTGCTTAACCCAGCACCTCACCGCCTTTGGGGCCAGCCTGTTTGTGCCCCCAAACTCTGTCCAGTTCATCTTCCCTGTGAGTACCCCCACGCAGAGGCTGAGCAGTGTTGTCACATGCTGAGCAGGTTGTTGTCACCTCGCAAAGCCTCGGGCTCCTGTCGCCTTCCTGTTTGAGCTGGGTCGGGCTGCCCTGTGCCCACCTGGCACCAGCACAGGCACCTGGGAGCCTTTTGGAGGTGCAGATGGGCACATCTCACAGAGGGCTGTGTCCTCTGGTTGGGAATCCTGGCTGCTGCTGAAAACAGACCTTTGGCAGATGGCTTTAGTCCCCGATCTGGACACCTCGCAGCGTGTTCACCTCTTAGGGAGATGTCAAACTCTCCCTCCAGCTGTCACCCACCACTGTTTAATCCCAGGGAATTGCACCTGCCAGCTGCTCCCTGCTTCCCAAGGGTATCCAAGCCCTTCCTCGCTCTGTCCCTGTGACGTGAGCGGGAGCAGAGAGCTCCTGGCAGCTGCTGCTGTGGTCCGTGGAATCACGTCTGAGCGGTGATGAGAGCCAGGAAGGAGGCAGGGAATGAGAAGAGAGGTCCTCCCAGGGAAGGAGAGTTGCCTTTCAACATTTTTCTTTCCTCCCAGGCCCCGGGCCCGGGCCTGAACTACATCGTCCTGCTGACGTGTGCCGTGTGCTTCGTGACCTACTCGGTGGCTGCGCTGATCGTGCACAAGCTGGACATGATCGACCTGCACCGGGTGGGAGTGATTCCCTTCTGCGGGAAGAACGGGATGTACAAATACGAGATCCTGGTGAAGACGGGCTGGGGCAGAGGATCAGGTGAGCCCACAGGCTGCTCCCGTGTGTGGTGCCTCAGGTGACATCTGCGTAGTTCACCTGGTGTCACCTCAGCACGTCACCCACTGAATGTCCCCTGCAGGGCCCAGAGCTGAGCTGGTGTTTGAAGCAGCTCTGAGCAGTCAGTCCAGGGCTTCCCACAGTGTTCCCAGTTCTTATTGGGTGATGATGGGACTCCAAAAACCATGGAGTCACAGACTGCTTTGGGTTGGAAGGTTCCTTAGAGACCATCTCATTCCAACCCCGCTGGTGCAGGTCCCTGGCAGGACGGCGGGGCTGGAACGGCCACACCTCGGGTGGGCTTCCCTCAGTGAGCCCCTTCCCTGCAGGTACCACGGCCCACGTGGGGATCGCCCTGTACGGGGTGGACAACAAGAGTGGTCACAGACACCTGGATGGGGACAACGCCTTCCACCGCAACAGCCTGGACGTGTTCCAGATCGCCACGGAGCGCAGCCTCGGCAGCATCTGGCGCATCCGCATCTGGCACGACAACAAAGGTGGGACACCAGCAGCTGTGTGGGCTGGGGAACGTGGATGGTTCGGGCCAGAACCAGGCTCTGATCCGCCCAATACCTGGGCTAGGAGAGAGGGATGAGAGCCTACAGTGGCTCCTGGTGACCTGCTGGCTTCGGGGGGACATTGCTGGGGGGGGACATGGAGTCTCCATCATGGGGAATTCCACAGGCTGGCCATGTGTCATCCCAGACACATGATGCTGTGTGCTGTGACAGTGTCTGAAATGTCACCTCAGGGGTGAGCTGGCTGTGCCAAGCTTTTCTGGGTACTGTGCCTTTTCCCATTGGTGATGATAATGGTGTCACAGGGAACTGCTGCTGTCCCACTGACAGGTCCTTGTGTGGCTCTCTCAGCTTTGCAGGCTCACACAGGGAATATCTGCCATGAAATATTTCTCCATCTCTTCCCTTTTAGGACTCAGCCCCTCCTGGTACCTGCAGCACGTCATCGTGCGGGACCTGCAGAGCAGCAAGAGCTACTTCTTCCTGGTGAACGACTGGCTGTCGGTGGAGAGCGAGGACAACGATGGCATGGTGGAGAAGGAGGTGTTTGCTGCCAGTGAGTGCTCACCCTGGGTGTGGGTTTGGGGCGCTGAGAAGTTCTCATGGCACAGGAGAGCAGAGAGACCCTGGTACCTCCACACTGGCTCTTCCTCATGGCAGTGATGCCAAGTGCTCTGCTGGGTCTTTTGTGCTGGAGGACAGGGCACGGCAAGGTCCCGTCAGGAGAGAATCACAGAACCGTGTTAAGGTTGTCTGTGGGGAGGGGAGTGGTGTGCCCAGCCAGGTCCCCTCTGCAGCACAGCCACCCTGAGTGTCCCTCTTTCGTCCCCAGGTGAGACGGAGCTGAGGAGCTTCTCGCGGATCTTCGTGGCGGAGCTGCAGCGAGGCTTCTTCGAGAAGCACGTGTGGCTGTCGCTGTGGGACCGCCCGCCCCGCAGCCGCTTCACCCGCGTCCAGAGGGCCACCTGCTGCTCCCTCCTCATCTTCCTCTTCCTCTGCGCCAACGCCGTGTGGTACGGCGTGGTGGGCAACGTCCACCTCAGGTGCGCTGGGCCCTCGGTGCCCTGGCCAGCCCCCACCCTCCTCAGGGCCCCTCCTGCCCGTCCCATTGGGGCAGGACAGACCTTAAACCCATGGGGAACAGCTGCCTTGGTTGTGGCCTTGAGCCTGCCCTTCTCATTCTAAAGAACTGGGAGCGGGGCATGGATGATGGAAGACCAAGGACAGTCAGATTTTGGGTTTGCTGTGCCATCTGTTAGCACTGCCCAGGCCTGTTTCTTTCTCTGCCCATCTGAAATACCTGATTGTGCAGTTCTGTCTCCTGCTTTCTTACCTGGCAACCCCAAATGCTCCTGCTGACACCTGTCTCTGGTCTCTCTTGATTCTCTGCAGCAATGTGGCCGTTTCCAACCTGATCCCTGTGAGTGTGGACACAGTGGCTGTTGGTCTGGTGTCCAGCGTGGTGGTTTATCCCCTCTACCTGGTCATTTTATTTCTCTTCAGGATGGCTCGTGGCAAGGTAAGGAGGAGGAATGGTTGCAGGCTGCTCTAATGGGTGGGATGCCACCAGCTTTGCTAATCTGAGGCTAAATTTTGCCCTTGCTGGGACCTCACCCCTCCAGCACTCACCACTCCACACCATTCCAAGTGGTCTCTGCACTTGCCCAGTTGTGCTGCACCATGGCCAGACTCTTCCCTTAGTGAGTCTTTGCCTCCCTCCCTTGACCTCAGATCACTGCCTGGACTCTGACAGTGCCCAGAGACCAAAAGGGCAGGTTTTAGAAGCTGTTAAGGCACCTCCTTCCTCTTGATTTCAGTGTGTGACAGGCACTCAAATGCCATGCAAAGGCACAACCCTTTGCTGCACTGGCAGGAGCCTGGGAGGTGCTCAGTGGAGCCTCTCTAATGGAATGTCTGCCCTGGGTACAGCTCAGCTGGCTGAGCAGAGCTGTGGTTAAGCAGCTGGGAAGGGATTAGCTGGGGATTTAATGACTAGTTAGGCACAATTAACAGCCCCATTAAGTATTGCAGCCAGCTGCTCAGGGACTGATGAGCAGCAAATGTGTCGTCTGTTCCTTGTTCCTGTAAGCACAAAGGAACAAACTTTCAAACTTATGGGGCTTCCTGGGAGCTTGTCCCTGGGACAGCCTGGGTGGCACTGGGCTGTGGTGTATGTGGGTACAGGTGTCCAGGGGGCCTGGGAAGCAGTGCAGGATGGGTCTGTGCCTGTTCTCAGCCCCCCGGGCAGGTCTGGGCTCCCCAGCAGAGCAGGGAGCTGGAGGGATCCTCAGCAGCAGTGACAGTGTCACCTCCATCCCTCCTTCCTGTCCCCTGCAGGTCTCCATCAGCCACACAGTGACTCACTCAGACCAGCAGTCCTTGGAGATTGACAACTACCTGGACTCCTCAATCCTAGACAGCTCCTTCCCCACCTTCCCCGGGCTGCAGGCAGAGGTAACCTGCTTCCTTCCCCACAACTGGACAGGCTGCACAGGTCTGTGTGTTCCCTGCAGGGACACAGTGCCCACCCCAGCTGTCAGGGGGAGAGCTGAGGCACTCAGATGCCTCTGGAAAATCCCAGTGCTGGGGAGAGCCCAGCCTTTCATCCCTCACCTGCCCAGGCCAATCCCAGATCCAGTAGCTGTCTCCAGCTGTCTGTGGACATGGATCTTCCCAGGGTGCCTGTGGGTTATCTCTGGAGGGGAGCAGGCTCCTGGAGGTGTGGGCCCAGATCTAACAGCACCTCCAGCTTCCCAATGACCACTGGTGTTCACAACCTGCTGCTTTAACCAGGCACAGACCAGTGTCACGTGCCTGAAGTGCCTCTGTTTCCTCCACAGGCCTTCTCTGAGCAAACCAAAACAGATCTGTTCTTGGAGGACTCCAAAAGGTGAGGAGGTTTCTGGGGATGGAGTGAGCAGGAGTTTAGTTTCTGCTTTGCTGGGCTGGGGTTGTGCTGTTTCCGTGCAGACGTTCCTACCCAGTTCCTTTTCTCCTGCTTCCCCACATGGACCTGACGCCCCCATTCCTGTTTTCCTGCAGCCTGGTGCGATGGCCCTCCAGTGAGGCCCTGCTCAGCTGGCCAGACCTCCTCAGTGACCCCTCCATCATGGGCAACACCATCCAGAAGCTGAAGAGAGGCCAGGCCAGCCGCCACCTCGGGCTTGAGGCCCCACTGGCCACCGAGGAGGACAGTTTGTCCCTTGGCATTCACCAGGGACAGCCTCGGTACTTCTCTGCCTCAGGTTAGAGAGGCAGAGCTGCAGAGCTGCTCCCATCACCACTGGCTTCACTTTGAAGGGCAGAGGCGGAGGGTTGGGTCTGCTTAACAGGGGTTTTAGTCTGGGAAAGCAGAAATCCTGGTGGGGATCAGTCTGAAGTGAGCGGTCCCACACTGCCAGCAGGCTGGGAGCAGGGAGGGATGTGTTTCCATGGGAATGCTGCAAACAACCAGCTCTTTCTCACTGGTTGCAAAGCCACAGTTGTCCCTGAGCCTCTGTAAGTGGCTGTAACTTGGCTCCCTGAACCAGCAGTTTCCTGCCTGGCTCTGCAGGAGCTGGGGCTGGACAGGCACTGGGGGACAGGGAGCAGGGGAGGGCTGTCCAGGGAGAAGGACATCACCCTGACCCTCCTCCTCCTCCCCAGGGTGCAGAGCCATGCCCTGGAGTGGTGCTGGGCGCTGTGCTCGTGCCCAATGCTCTTTGTGCTCTGTCCCTTTCCCAGACGAGGATCTGATCCGGCAGATCCTGGCGGATGGAGCCAGCGGCATCTCCCACTCCCAGGACCTGGGGCCGTACATGAGGGCTGAAACAGATCTGATCTCAGGCCTGTAAGTGTTTGAGGGGCAGAGTCCCCACTGAGCCCAAGCCTCCTGCCCCTTGTCCTCCCTCCCAGCCTCACGATGTCGCCCCAGCTGAGCTGAGCTGGACTGGGGACATTTCCATGGGTCACTGTGTTCCTGCTGGCCATGATTCCCACAGCCCCCACAGCCAGCGCTCCAGGAGGGCATGGCTATCCTTCCAGGAGCCACTTGGAATATCCTTTAAAGCCCCAGCTGTGCCTCCAGCACTTCTGGGCTGCTGGCAAAGTGCTGGGATGCAGGTTCACTTCATGGCACTGAAGGAAGGGAGAAGGGGGTTGAATCTTTGTTATAACATGCCCAGAGCACCCTGCTGGGCACCCTGACCACCACCCAGCCAGGCTGGCAGCCCACCAGTGGTAGCCACTGCAGAGTGGCAGATCAAGGGAGGGGAAAGACTTTCAGCCCTTGTCCACAACATGCAGAGCAGTGTCTGTGTCCTTTGTGTGTGTGTCTGTCCCAGGACTGGTCACTGGTGCTGGCACTGGAGTTCAGCCCCTCTCAGTGCCAGCAGTGACACAGCTGTCACCCTTTGCCTCTCAGTGCCAGCAGTGACACAGCTGTCACCCTTTGCCTCGGCAGGTCCAGCGTGTTCGGGGAGAAGGTGGAGACTGTCATGATGCAGAAGCTGAACGACAAAGGGCAGAGCATGGCAGCTCCTCCCAGGGAAGTGAGCAGATCAGCCAAGTCCACGTGGACAGGTACCAGGGCTGTGCCCATCAGGGCAGGATGGGGGTGTGCAGGGACAGGGGCCATCCCACGCAGCAGCACTTGGGGGAGCAGAGGGGAAATAGAAAAGGAGTCTTAGGGAAGGCAGCTCCCTGCTTGGGATATATCTGCTGTTTCCTGCCAACTTCTTCTGGAGCTTGGATCTCTTCATGTGCTGCTTAGTGGGAAATGTTTGGGATAATCCCTCCAAACTCACCCAGGACAGGTGATGAGCTCAGCCCTTCCTGTGCCCACTGGGACCCTTTGGCAGGAATGTTCACATTTGCTTTCCCTCCTCCTCCCAGTTGCAGACCAAACATTCAGGAAACGCTTGCTCCCACCCTGGTGCTCCTACCTGGCTCATGGCATCAGCCTCCTGCTCTTCGCCACCTCCACGGGGGTCTCCGTGTGGATCGGGGTGGGCTTTTCCTCCAGCGTGGCCCTCATGTGGCTCATCTCAGGGATATTCAGCTTTCTGGCATCCTTCCTGGTCTGGGAGCCCCTGAAGGTGAGGATACCGTGACACACCTGTACTTGTGTGTGTGTCAGCTGTAATTCATGTCTTGTCCAGCTACTGATCACAGAATCACTGAATGGGGGGGTTGGAAAAGCCCTTTAAGGTTGTCGAGTCCAACCATCAGCCAACCACCATGTTCACCACTAACCCATGTCCTCAAGTGCCACCCCCACACGGGTTTTGAGCATTTTCTGGGATGATGACTCCACCACTGCCCTGGACAGCCTGTGCCAGGGCTGGACAACCTTTTCCATGAAGAAATCGAGTCAGGCTGGGCCCGATGTTAATTGAGTGGTCTCTCCCAGCCCTGTATCCCTCAGGAAGGGAAGGATGTGGATGAAGGATGGGAAAACAGGGCTGGTGTCACATTGTTTTGTGTGGCCTGGCCGCGCCAGGGAGGAGCTGTGCTGTGCTGGCTGTGCTCAGGGGCCCACAGGAGCTGCTGCTGGAATGTCCAGGTGGCACAGCTCTCTGCAGGCTCAGGACTCTCCCTGCCCCCCAGGTGCTGCTGGAAGCCCTGTATTTCTCCCTGGTTGCCAAGCGCCTGCACCCCGAGGAGGACGACACGCTGGTGGAGCAGCCCTGCGTGGAACACGTGTCGGAGAAGATCAGCAAAGTGCGGCCCCCGCAGGGCTTCGCCCTCTTCCAGGCCAAGGAGGAGGCCAGGAAGGTCAAACTGCTGCACAGGATGCTGAAGGTGGGACATCTCCTGCTGCCTGGTGCCCAGGGCAGAGGGCTGAGATACATCCTGGCGTGGGTCCTCCCAGTCCAGCTGGGATCCCCTCAGCTAGTGGGTGCATGTTTTCGGCTTCTGCCTCAGTTTCCCTGTCTGTAAAAGTCTGGCAGTGATTTTCATCTTCTCTTTGGAGCTCTGAGGGGGCTGGAGAGCAGAACCATGAGGGGTTGATTTGGAGCAGCTGGTGTTTGGCTCCATAACTCGGGTGTTTGAGGTTAGGGCAAGGTTTGAGTGTGGAGCAGACACCAACTTGCACGGGGAAAATCCATTAGTTGAGTCTTTTGAAATGCAACTTCCTGTCCAGGAGCAGAAATTTCAGCCTTTGTAGTTCATTCAGTACTGATCCTCCACTTGTGCTGGGAATACACAGCTGCTTTGATGGAATCAGGTTATTCTTAACTGAGTGATTCCCCTTTAAAGATGGAACTCCCCATAACTACTGGATAAGCTGAACTGACAGCGTAGCGGAGCTCTTTCAGCAAGGAATCTTGTTATGAGCCTGTGATCTGGGTTTCATTTTAAGCTGCTCCCCATATGAAAGAACAGCCTGCTCAAGGTCCTGATCCTGCTGCACAGCAGTGGAAGGCACTGCTCTGCTGCAGGATTGGGATCCAGCTCCTCCATGCAATCCCTTTCTACTCTCTTTTTCCCAGAATTTCCTCATCTACATGATGTTCTTGCTGGTGATCCTGCTCACCAACTATGGGGACACGTCCCGAACCAGCCGGGCCTTCCTCCTGCAGAGCTCCATCAAGCAGCAGCTGGGCAGCAACGAATTCCTCCTCATCAAGAGGTACCTGCCCAGGCCCTGGGATGGGGGATGAGGTGGTGATGTGTGTCAGGGAGCTGGATGTGGGGCTTGTGCTCCACAGTCTCTCCCATAAAAGGTTCCCGACTCCACTGGGAGCACTGGTGTGGAGCTGGGACTCACACACGAGCCTGGCTTGGCAGTGAGCAGGTCCCGTTTGTGCCTGTGGTTCTTCTCTCTTGGAGAGCAGAGGGTTCTCTGGAGGTGGAGAGGTTTAATTTCTCTGTGGGAAGGGGCTGTGTGAGTTACTGACATTGAACTTACTGGATCTGTTTTAAAGGGAACAAATTTCTCTATCTCTAAAATTTACAACTGTAAGGTTTAACCATGAACAGGGTCATGAGAACCAGAAGTGACACCTCGTAGAGTCCTACCCTTCCTTGCTCTGCACTTTTGGTTTAACTGGGTGAAATTTTCCCAGCTGAGTTTTCACACCACCGGGAATTCCACAAGTCCAGCCTGACCCTGGAACACTGCCTGGGGTTGAGGGTGTCTCCTCCAGAGCCCTTGGTTCTGTGCACATCAGCATGGCTTGGCTGAACCAAAGTCACTGGAGCTTTGATTTCACTGCAGTGTGAGTCAGGAGTTATTCCAGTGAGTTTGGTAGAGTTTTTGGGGTGAAAGTGGTGTAAAGGGGGATAATCTGGTCCTAAATAGCATGTCTTTCCCACTGCACTGCCACATATCCCCTGCTCTGATTCTCATCCAGGTGCCAAGTGCATTCAGTTACTTTTAGGTCATGTCAAATAATCCCTTTTCTGACCTCATCCCAGCCCCTGGAATGGGTGGGAATGTGCCTGCTGGCTGGGAGGAGAGCAGCCAGCTTGGCTCTGCGGTGCTCAGTGCCTCATCCAGGTGACACCCCCAGGATGGGTGGGACACGCAGAGCTGGCCTGGCAGAGCTGCCCCAGGGCTCTGCCTCCCTCCCACACCGTGTCCCCTCGCAGGTCGGATCAGTTCTGGCTCTGGATGTCGCGGGTGTTCCTCCCGTACCTGCACAACAACGGGTCGGGCCAGGAGAGCCACAGCACCACGCTGGGCACGGCCCGGCTGCGCCAGCTCCGCCTGCAGGAGGGTACGTGGGCAGGGAGCTCTGCTCCCACAGCGGGGTGGGGACAGTCCTGGAGGGACCAGATGGGCAGGTCTGGGTGCAGCTGGGGCTGAGGGAAGGCAGCAGAGGTTACACAGCGAGGTTTTGGTTTGTAGTTTGTGCTTCAGTGAGTCCCCGGTTCTGCTCTGCAGAGATGAACTGGGGCAGCTGGTCATGGAATCCTGGAATGGTTTGGGTTGGGAGAGACCTTAAACATCATTCAGTTCCACCCCCTGCCATGGGCAGGGACATCTCCCACTATCCCAGATTGCTCCAAGCCCCATCCAAGCTGGCCTTGGACACTTGCAGGGATGGGGCAGCCACACCTTCCCTGGGCAACCTGTGCCAGGGCCTCCCCACCCTCCCAGGGAAGAATTTCTCCCCAGTATCCCATCTAACCCAGGTAGTTTAAAGCCAGTGGTGTATTCCAGGAGCAGAATGGTGGTTCATAGTTACCCCGAGGCTGATTGGGATGCCTGTGTTCTCCACTCGTACCTAACAAATCCACTCTGAGCTGGTGGTGTGGATATATTACGACTCCTACATTTTCCTTATTAATATCCCTTCTTTTCTTAATCCCTAACTTCTGCATGCTCCCTTCCCCTCACCCTGGTGAAATCATGAAGAGAAAGGTTGGTTTGATGTCTGGAGGGGTGGCTGAGGTGTGGAGGTGGAGGGGTTTGGGAGGAAGGGCAATGCTGGGGCTGTGAGCTCAGCTGTGCCCCAGCACTGGCTGTGCTGGACTGCCTGGGGGTGACAGTGTGGTCTCATTCCAGCCAAGTGTCATGCCCAGGACATCCTGCCCGGCGTGGGCAGGGCCCAGAGGAGCTGCACTGACCAGCACAGCTTTGCCACCGCTGACTATGGCACAGGCTGGGAGAGGGCAGCGGGGAACGTGACGGCGGCGTGGGCCCACTCCCCACCTGACCTGGCAGGGTAAGGGGCTGCCCAGCCCGCTTCCACCCCCTGCTCCATCCCCTGTCCTGCAGAGATGGGACAGCTGGTCCTTGCAGACCTTTACAAGGTCTTTACCATGGGTTTTGTGCCATGGGTGGTTCCCAGCCCTCCCCTCAGCGAGGCCAACTCCAGCCCCTGAGCCTGGCAAAGGGCAAATGGACACAAACGCCAAAGGGCTTCCCTGGGCACACCCACACTGGCAGTGGGAGTGGTGGGGGGCACCCAACTTCCCCGGGGATGTGCATGTCACCTCAAACTGTCTGAACAGCAGTGTTGTGCTGCTCTGGGGTACCCAGGGGCAGAGGGTTCAACTCTCCACCTTCCAGGGCAGAGACAGGGAGGGTAACCCAGCACCCACACAGCAGCACTAGATGTCTGTTCAAGGGGGTGATAGGAGGTTGTCCTGCACACTGGACATAAATCACTGTTGGTTTCTGCTCTAGTTTGACCCTGGAGGCATCTTCATGGGCCACCACAGGGCCTGGGGCTGTCCTGAGGTTGGGAACACTGAGGTGGATCAATGCACTCCTATGATTTGTCTTGTGAAATAAATGCTGAGGCAGCTCTTGAGGGGCAGGATCTGCATCTGCACACGTGCTCTTGGCCTGCCATGAAGGAGAGCAGCCAGTGCCCTTCAGCCTCACGCCGTGGCTCCTCTTCCCCTGCAGGATCTGGTACTGGGGTTACCTCTCCTTCTACGACAGCAGCGGGTACGTGCAGGAGCTGGGCCCTTCACTGGAGGAGAGCCGGGCCCAGCTGGACTTCCTGCAGCAGCACACGTGGATCGACAACATGTGAGTGTGGCAGGGGCAGAGGACGTGTCCTGCTGTCAGCCAGGGTTTTCAGGGATTCTGCTGGAGCGTCCCAGGGAACAGGATCAATGATCCCACCCAGCAGTGGCCCTGGAGCTGGTGTTGTCCCAGTCCCTGAGCTGCTCCTCTTGCCCCGCAGGAGCCGGGCAGTGTTTGTGGAGCTGCTGCAGTACAACCCCAGCGTGGACCTGCACGTGGCCATCACCCTGCGCCTGGAATTCCCGGGATCCGGCCAGGCCATCGCCGCCCTCACCATCAGCCCCTTCCCGCTGCTGCGGCTCAGCGGGGGGGTCACCCTGCAGCTGCTCATGATGGTCAGTGTGGTACCTCCCCCTGCACCCCTCTGCCCTTGGGGTCACTGCAGGGCCTCTGGGGACCCTCACCCAGGCTGGTCACTGTGCACTCAAGCTCCCCTGCCTGAATCCACTTGTTCCCTTGCCTGTCACCACTCTGCTTCCAGGCCTGGGTAGCACACAGGGAACAGCCCTGGCACTGCTGAGGGGAAAGAGGTTCCTCCTCCTCTCAGTCTTGTCTCAGCATTTTTACTTCCTTAAGCTCATGTCTGTCACTGTGGAAACATGAGGGTTTGTTCTGCCCTCAGTGGGGACATCAGCCAGACAAGCCATGTCCCCAGAGACATTGCCTGGGTTTGGTGTCTGCAGAGACCTCGTCCCCTGAGCACTGCCACCCTACTACAGGGGCACTGGGGAGCTTTAGGAGGGAGTGGGGCACTGGGTGAGCAGGGAAGGCGGGGCAGGACACTGCAGGTGCTCCAGGTGGTGGAACTGGGCCTGGTCTGGGGGGCTTTTGCTGTCCTGGGTGCAGCACAGCAGTCAAGCGTTGCCCTCTCCTTCCCTGATAACCTCTTCATTCCTCCTCTCCTGGTGACCTCTGTTCCTCCTTCCCTGGTGACTTCCTCGTCCCTCCCCCAGGTCTTCCTCATGATGTTTGTGGTTTACTTCGTGGTGTCGGAGTCGCTGTCCATCAAGAAAGAAGGCAGAGCCTACTTCACCCAGTGGGGCAACTACGGCCAGTGGCTCTTCATCCTGCTCACCACGAGCACTGTGGTGGTTCACCTCAGCCAGGCCACCCTCGCTGACCAGCAGTGGCTCAAGTACCTCAACAACCGCAGGGGCTTCACCAACTTCTACCAGGTGGCCTTTCTCAGCTCCGTGTTCAGCAGCCTGGCCGCGTCCCTGCTCTTCCTCCTGACTGTGCAGGTACAGAGCTTGGGGGGGAGCAGCACGTGGGCACTGGGTGCTTCGGTCCTCCTGTGCCAGCCTGTCATCTCTGTGTGGTCCCTGGCAGGGCCAGCAAAGGGCCCCGAGGGAAAACATGCAGGATTGAGGTCCTGATCAGGCACTGGTTGGATGCTGCTGCCACATCAGACCCTGCTGCAGGGCAGAGGGGGTGGCAGTGAGGCCACGTGTGTCTCTGCTGTAGCACTTTGGGTCTCCACAGCATCTGGGCCCCCAGTTCCCTTGGCAGATCCAGCCAAGTGTGGCTGATGGGATGAGTTTGTCTGCAGGGAACCTGTGGCCTGGGATGGTCTGTGCTCTGTCAGGGTTTGCGTTTCTCAGACGTGTGAGAGACCCTCCCCGTGCTGGAGGGGTCCGTGCTGTAACACCCCCTCTCTGCTCCCCAGGCTGCCCAGCAGCTGCGCTTCGTCAGGCAGTGGTCAGTGTTTGGGAAGACCTTCCAGAAGTCGGCCAAGGAGCTCACAGCTGCAGGGGTGGCCTTCGCCCTCCTCCTCCTGGCCTACGCCCAGCTCGGCTTCCTGGTAACTACCCCTGTCCCTGTTCCCTCACAGGGGGGCTGGTTGTGCTCCTGTTGCCCTTCATCCCTCACCATGGCACGACGTGAGCAAAGCCCACGGGTCCCCTGGGTGGTCCATGCCCACCCTGCCACAGGCAGCTTTGGCCAGGGGCTGTCGCTGTCACAGCTGATTAACAGGCCACCCCTCAGGGCCCACGTAAAAGGGGATATCTTGGCTTAGGGGAACACTTTGCCGCTGATCCCTTCTCGTCACATCTCCAATGTCCCCTTTGCAGCTCTTCTCCTCCTCCACCGAGTCGTTCCGCACCGTGGGCAGCAGCCTCCTGCTGCTGCTGGCCCTGCTCCGGGGCAGCGGGAGCCTCCGGCCCTGCCTGCCCGAGGCCTCGGGCCTCTACTGCCTCTTCTGCACCAGCTACATCGTCCTGGAGGTGTGGATCGTGCTGAGGCTGCTCACGGTGGTGCTGATCCACAGCTACCGCGAGATGCACTTTGAGCTGTACCGACCTGCCTTCGAGCCCCAGGACTACGAGATGGTGGAGCTGTTCGTGCGCAGGCTCAAGATGTGGATGGGCTTCAGCAAAGCCAAGGAGGTGAGAGCAGCCTGGGGGCTCCATGGAGAAGGGGCCAGGTGGCAAAGAGCAATGTCCACCATCCTTAGCCTTCCTTTGCCTCTGGCTACGTCCCAGTGCTGCTCACAGCCAGGTTGCTCTGGCAGGCGAGAGCTGGAGCAGTCGCTGTTCCTGAGGGCCCCAGGGCTGGGTTAGTGATGGGGCACTGTAGGGACATCGGCTGCCAGTTCTCAGCCCCACAGTTCCATGTGGTTTTAATGGGGATCTCCACAAGGTCCATGGTTTGTCACACAAGGAATAGCTGGAGCAGCCCCGGGGTGTTTGGAGTGTTCCCACTGAGAGCTCTGAACTAACCCTGCCCCTGCTCCCCTGTTCCCTCCAGTTCCGGCACAAGGTGAGGTTCGAAGGGATGGAGCCGCTGCCCTCCCGCGACTCCAGTGACTCCAAGTCCTTCCGGGGCCCCACTCCCAGCGCTGCCTCCGACAGCTCCAGGGCCTCCACGTCCTCCAGCCAGCTGGACGGGCTGAGCCTCGTGCTGAGCACCCGGGACAGCCTGGAAGTGGACGCCGACATCCAGCGCCTCCTTTCCCTCTTCGAGATGCTGCTGGCCCAGTTCGACCGCGTCAACCAGGTGACGGAGGACGTGTCCCGCATCGAGCTGCTCCTGGAGGGCTCCCGGGGCCGCTCCCGGAGGAGACCCCGCGGCCCCGAGGACGGGCTGGGCAGGGGCTGTTTGGGCGGCTCGGAGCGGGGACCCTCCCCCGAGGTGTCGGACACGGACGTGCAGCCCCCGCGGTCCCCGCGCGGTGCCGGGGCCGTGCCGGGCGGCCGGGGCTCGGTGCCCAGCCGGCTCCTGCGGGCGAGCCGGGGCGTCAGCGCGGTGGCCCCGGGCAAACCCTGCGCTGTGGCCGCGCCGGCCGTCAGGAGGAAGCGGCCCCTCCGCGCCAAGAACAGGGTGCACCCCACGGTCAAGTAACCGCGCGTGGGTTATGGGTGCGGGAGCGATGCCCTGGCGGGGCACAGGGAGGGTTCGCCAGGGTGGGCTGTGCCCGCCCTGCAGCCTCGGGAGCTGCCCCGCGGCTGGGCCGGCCGGGGCACACGGGGCTCTCCCCCACGCCGCTGGCACGGCCACCAGCCTTCCTGGACCCCCGGGGGCGTTCCAGTGTTACAGAGCGGGGAGAAGGCCGAGCCTTTCCCCTGGGGCCGGGCAGGTGCAGGAGATCCCCGTTGGAGCGGGGGCCGGGGTGGGTGTTAAGTGGCCCCAGCTGCGGGTGGTGACGGGGGTGGGCACTGGGCGAGTGGGGCGAAGCTCAGCCCCTTCCCTGCTGGCTGTGCCGGATGGGAAAGGACAGGAGAGCCCCAGGCCTCAAAGGTTTGAACCAAGTCTTGGATTTTTGTCGACCAGACACACTGTGGAGGAAAGCAACAGCTTTCGAGAAGGTATTTAACCCACCTTGTTTTTTAAGCATAAATAGATATATAGATAAATGCTATCTACGGCCAGATCAGTTAATTTCCAGTATTGGCTACTTTTATCCTCCAGAAATTGGTACTATTATTTGTATTTAAAGAAATCCAATATTTAAAACAAAGGACATTGCAAGCTCCAGCGAGCCTGGCCAGGCTGGGGGGGACAGGGAGCAGCAGCTCAGCCCGAGGGCTTTGAGACCCTGGGGCTGCTCCAGCCTCCTCCAATTTGGGGTTCCCAAGGTGCTGGTGTCACCATGGTCCCCACCCATCCCTGTCCCCCCACCATGGCCCCTGGGCACCCCTGGCTGCTTGGCTTCTCTAACCCAAGGAATGTATTGCCCTAAGTATATGTATTTTTTTGGTTTACTTGTTCCTATGTACTGCCCAGCACTTTAAACAAGGCTTTCCTCGGCTACAGTGACACGTGCAAGCTAAGAACGGGATAATATATCACAAAAGCAGTATTTTGTTTGTTTAAATCATAAACTGAAATGGGCAGTGAGGAGGCGAGCGCAGCCCCTGCTCAGGCAGCACCTTCCCTACAGCACAAAGGAGCTCCTGAGGGAGGTTTTTCGGGGTCCCTGCAGCCCTGCCCCCCGGGACTGGCCGTGTGCTGGGCTACAGCTGCTGGGCTACAGCTGGGCTGTGCCACGGGGCACCCCCAGCTCACAGCACGGGGGTGCAGAGCAGGGCCTGGGCCCCCCACGGGGTCTGCGTTCCCCTCCTCAGCCCCATTTCACCTTATGGCTATTGTAAGTAATTTATATGGGGTGTGTTTGGTTTTTAAATGTATATATTTTTGTATGTTTGCTATATTTTCATAGCATCGGTACCGTGTTTGAA